ATCAAACAAATACACATTGAAGGTGATTTTACTAAAAAACCTGATCAACACTCCTCAAAACTGTCAAACAACCAAAAAACAAGGGAAGTCTGAGAAATACTCTAACAACGTGAGTCCAAGGATATGTGGTGTCACCTGGGATCCTGATGGGGTCCTGGGGGAGAAAAAGAAGAATGCACGAGAGCTAAGGCAATGTTGAGTAAGGCAGAGTTTAATTAATAACAATGCACTGATACTGGCTCAGCAACTTAATGTACTGCAGAACTCAGTAATGGGAAAACAGGTGTCAGCACACAGGAACTCTCTATAATATCTTCACAATTTTCTGTAAACCTAAAACTTTTTAAAATAGTTTATTTTAGAAAATGAAAAAAAAGGAGCACAGTTTTACATGCCTAAAGAGTTGAAAGCATAGAAGCTACAATGCACAGGGAACTTCATCTTGAGGGGTGCCAGTGGGCACTGCGCATGAGGAGGGGAAGATGCCACTGGGACCATTGGGGCAGGTTCTGTGTTCATTTTGTGTTATATGAGGACAAAATTACTAAATGATAAACTCTCCTTATTGTCCCGCTTTCAGATATCAATCACTGGAAACAAACTCACATTTACTAAACAAGCATCTGAGTTAACTGCTTCACACAAGAAACAAATCAAGCTGACCTCACTACACTGACCAAAAGGACAAATCAGATGCCACCAAATGAAGGAAAGAATGTAGACTTGCTCACCTGCCACAGGGAGTCTGCCTTACTTCACTGGGTTAACAATGCAACCCCTACTCTGCACCAGGTGAGGGGTGACGGCAGACAGCCCACCTGGCATACCCTATTCCAGGGGCTAGTGTCTCCGATGACCACCTCAGGACACACCCCACATTTTGACAACACTCAGGGAATCTACCCTTCCTCCCACCATCTGCCCTGCCTGGCAGCCCCATCTCTCTCAGTCCACTTCTGACGGCAAAGTCTGCACAGGCAGCTAGGTAGTTACACTGGGCCCTCTCTATGGGGATGGATTAAGAGGCATATGTTAAACACCAGACAATGAGGGTCCAGGCTGGGAGGACACTGTCCTTCAGAGCTTTTGAGTTCTAGCTGGCCCCTGTCAACTGCCCATCTTCCCTTCCACCCCTAAAAAGAAATGAAATATTTCTTTATCCCCAAGGTGTCCAGTGGTCCTTCATCAGGGGCATGAGTGTAAAGGGGATCTGACTGTAGGTAGTAGCTCTTAACTGATGAGGGAAATCTGATCTCATCCCTCAGAGGAATGGGCTGGGCTCCCTGATGTGATGGGGTAGTCCAGCAATAGAACTGGGCCAGAGAACTCTTTGAGGCACCTGCTTGCAATGACCTGCACCATATTCACCTGGCCTAATGGACTAGTAGTCTCAGTCAGGTCACAGAGTTCCAGAAGTCCTAGGTAGAATGTCATCCTTCCTTGGAGCCTGGGGCAGACCACACAGTGGCCCTTCTCCTGCCCAGCCAACAGGTTCCCAACACTGATTGTGGGAAAGCAGCTCTATACCACACATCAGCCCCATGTCCCAGGCCCTGCATCCAGGGTCATCCCAGGCGGATGTCACCTGGCAAGTATGAAGGGACACAGTGATTTGCACCCCAAGCCCTGAAAGAGGAAATAGCATCAGGATGCAGGGGTCTCAGGGATTATTTTCCTAACTGTGGAAGAGTTCATGAAGATTGTTATGTGCCCACCCCACATACTTTGCAGGCAGGAAGGAGGGGAATATCAAGCAGCGAGGACTGAGGGCCATGTGGTCACTGCCTCTGTATGCCTGTAGCTGTTCCACTTATCAGACCCCTGAGGGCTGGGCAACCTCAGTGCATCCAAAGTTCACTAGACTGCAAGTTAGACCGTTATACCTCCAGCCCCAAAATGCCCTTGGGTCTCCCAGAGCCCCAGCCCCAGCAAGTATCTGTGTCAAGTTCTAGGTGATCTCAGAGGAGTAGGGGATTCTCCAAAGGCTTTGACAAGAGTAGAACTTGTCCAGCTGAGAGCAGAATGGACATGGAGGAGGCTGGCCTCACAGAGGCTGCACATGTCTATCACCCTCTTCTCAGAAGGTGTCTGCTTTTTCAGGACTGACCTGTGGGCTCAGTCCTGAGTCTCTGTACCTTGGCTTCCACAGCTACAAAGAGACCTAAGGAGGATGTGCTACCAGGGCTGGCATGGGCTTGGAAAGCTATGGTGTAAGCAGGTTACCTGCAGAGGGAGAGAGGGCTCATGATTATGACTTAAGTGCAGGGAGTGGATGAGACATGGACCTTCCCTCTCGGTATGAGGCACTCATACCCATCCCTACCTCCAACTCCTCAAATGCTGGGGGAGAAGACAAGAGGGACAGGGGTAGGGGTGTGTGTAAGGGAGTGAAGGAGACTGAGCAGCTGCTCCCACCACCCCTGCCCCAGCCTTCATGGCGCCAGTTGAAAACTGGGATGTAGGTGAATCTGGAGAGAAGCAGCCAAGCCTTAAAGGGTAGGCGGAGTTCCAAGAATGCACAGAGAAGCCGGCAATGGAGGCAGCATGCCCAGCCATGATACTCAGCAGCTCACCAAACTCCTCATGCTGTTTCCCTGGGCTGTAGACACACCACAGACAAGGCCCTGAGGTAGTACAAAGGCAGTCAGGGTGGCCTGACCCAAGTTTCTGGTGTCTGGGTGGGGTAAGACCCTACCAGGACCCCTTCCCCTGAAAGAACCATCCACTCAAGGCACCTGCCACCCCAGCTCAGCAAGCTCAGCTGACCGTAGAGCAAGATGTACAAGGTCATTTAGAAATACCATGTTGCTGACCGAAGTCAACATGATTCTCTTCCCCACCAAGCCAAGAGGGCAAGGGCACAGTGGGACTTGAGGAAGACGGAGCTGGAGGGTCAGATGGGCCTGCCACCCTCCCTCAGAGTTACCTACAATGCTGGGCATGGGTACAGGCACCCCCATTTTAGCATTATTTTTTAGTAACTCGACCCACTTTAGTTCAAGAAATGAAGTTGATTGTTCACCTTTCTACAGGAGAAACAAAAGGCCAACAAATATCATCTCCTTAAATTGTGACTTGTAAACAAGAGCTAATACATTCAAGTATGACAATGGCCAAAACTAATTAGGTTGACAAGAGCCTGTGCCGGCATGAGTGAGTGACCTGGGGCAAGCTTTTTGGTTAACATCTACTGAGACTGACGCTCCTTCCTCTGGCTTCTGCAAGGATATCCAGGTGAACCATTTCACCCCACCCACAACAGGGAAATTGAAGTTCAGGATGGTGAGGAGGATGTATGCCAGGCCAAGTGGCCAACGCATGTGGGAGACAGAAGGGACATCAAAGCAAGCATGCCGACACCCTAAAAATACCTGCAGAGACTGCTATGCCTGCCTCCTGATTCCCAGCTATTAACTCTCCAGCCATATCCACAAAACTGAGCTGAATTCTTATAGTGTCCAAATATTAGTGTCTGTAATGACAAAGAGTTGACAACTGAAAGGACCCTAAACAAGGACTAGTTCCATCAGAGATACCTATGTATTCTTACAATGGAGAAGATGAGCCTGCGTGCTGCTCGGGCCTCAAGACACACTATGAGGGCAGAATGAGGGTGGCACCTGCCCCTGAGCTATGAAAGAAACTAAGCCCAGAGAAACTAAGACCCCTTTGGGAAACCAGGTGGGCCAAGGTTACTCCTATTCCATATTCTCACAGCCCTCCCCCCTCATCCCAGTGCAACCTCCTACCCAACACACCAAGATTGGGCAGCCTTCCAAAAGAGACTACATCTCACCTACCTCTAGCTCCACCACTCGACGCACACCCTGTCAGCCATTTAACCGAGCGCCTCTTCTCAGGCATAGATTATGCATTCTCTCTGCCCCAGTATCAGCAGGCCCCACTGGCTTCCCCAGTGAAACATGGCTCTAAATGATCCAGGCACCTGACGGAGGCTGCCTGGAAGCAGAGATACCAGAAGGTGGGTAGTGGAGAGCCCAGACCAAGTTGGGTCAAGAGCCCAAATGGACAAGGATGAGTCAGGCGGAGCCCTGCAGACTACACACCATGACAGGCCCTTTCAGAAGCTCAACCCTGACACCAACCCATTCTGGAGAGTAATGTCGCACTTCCACTATGCAGAGGGAAAAGCTAAGAACACTATCCAGAGTCACATCACCATCAAAGGGCAGGGCCTGAGTTCAGGCCTGTGTGATCCATACGGAAAGCAGCTTCTCCCTCCCACTGCCCACAGTAGGGCTGGGGATTCAGGCTAGGGAGAGAAGTTGGTGTAGGATCATCCAAGGGAACTGCTTCATGAGGTTGCCCAGTTCTTCCACTATCTAGCGCTCAGGCAGTTAGTTTGAGGGCTGATCTGCTCATCCTAGCGTGGATATCACATAGGAGAAAGAAACTTCCCCCTGACAAACACCCACAGACCTGTCACCCTTCTGCAGAGCCTGGGAGGCAGAGTCAGGAGAGAAAGCAAGCAGAAGCGCCGCGTCTGGAATCAGTCACGGTGGTGGGTGAACCGACACTCAGAAGGGGCAGAATCCCTGCTGGCTAGCGCTTACCTGCCTGAGGGGACTCGGTCTCTGGGGGGCAGCTGCTCCCAGAAGGAGAAGCCATCTGAGGGAATGTGAATGGAGACCCTAGGTCGGCCTTTTCCAACGGGTCACCACCGGCCTCCGGCCCACGCCTTCACCCCCACCCTCGGGAACCAAGCCCCGCAGAGGTACACCCTCCTTTCCTGAGACCTGTCCGCAGGGGCAGGCTGGTCACACGGCCACACCCGCGACCCCTGCCCGCAGAGGCCCAGACTCTCGCACGCGCCACTCACCACCCCGGAGCCCTTGCAGAACCTTCCCGTCAGCCCGGCAGGCTGATCCTCGGCTGAAGCGGCTCGGCCCTGGGCCGGCTGAGGCAAGGGGTCACAGGGGGTCCGTTAGGCCCGGGTGATGGGTTCCAGGGAGTTGGCGGCGGCGGTTCGCGTCGCTCACCTCCTTGAGCTGCTCCAGCTCGCTGCGGATGGCCTCGTAGTCCACCTCGAGCTCCTCAAACTGCAGCTTGAGCTGGTGCTTCTCCTCGAGCACCGCCAGCCCGTACTCAGCCGCCTGGATCTTCTCGCGCGTGGTCTCGGCAAGCTCATGAGACAGCCGCTTCACCTCCGCGCGCAGCCACTCGGGCTGCGCCTCCATCACCAGCCGAGCATACTCCTCTTCTTCTGACGGCGCCGACATGGTTGCCGCGGCCGGGATCCGGCTCTGAGCTCAGGCCGGCTAGTCCGCCGCCGCCCCGCCCGACGGCGCCCGGGCCGCGCCGCCGCAGGACTAGCGCGGAGGCTTCTGGGCCGGAATCCACCCGAGTGACTACAGCGCCCGTGGTGCCTAGTGCCGCCGCCCGGTCGTGATTGGCCCGCGCCCTGGCTGGCGGCCCCTTCCGGCGCCTGCGCTTTGGCCACCTCCTCCCGAAGGACTGTGGGGGCTGTAGTCCCGTCTGCACGCCGCCTACAGGGCCCATGGTGCCCTAGCCACCCGTCCCCAGCCGCGATTGGCTCGCGCAGCCGACGCCGCAGCGCCTGAAAGACATCTTCCGCCTCTGTGCCTCCCGGCTGTCCGCGTGCTGAGCCTAGAGCCCGGTCTCAGACGGCAAGCGCTCGGTCAGGGGGCCCCACGGGGCGTGTGCACCGAGGATCGTCTTGCACTGTCACAGACAGTAGAGACCACTGTTACTCGTATCTAGGGATACGCCAGCTACGTAAGCGCCCTGGCGCCCCCTGAGCCCTGACCGTTGGGACCCTTCCGAGTGGGGCGTGCCTCCAGAAGAGTTCGCCACTAGCCCTACACTTCCTCCCCTCTCTCCACACTCCGGGACCTCTGCCCTCGGACCTTTTACTCCCATATGGGGTAAAGCCCCCGTTTGTCCAGTCGACCTGGAACGCTCCGAGGGTGCAGTGCAGTGCGCACCTGGCTGGGTGAGGTAGCCTTGGATGTTTGAAGTCAACACAGACTGTACGCATGTCACGTCCTCAGACTATTAATCCACTGCCTTTAATAGCTCTTTAGAAACTGAATGATTATACTGTTTCTATTTCCATCACTGTCCATTTATTAGCTTTGTTCATTACTAGTATGGATTCTTGGATTCTTACTTAACTCTCCCTGTTTACTTCAGTGAGCACATGTAGCAGATTTGGCTAGTGGAAGCTACTCCAAGGTGGTTGTTTCTTTTCAACACATCATAATTTGTAAGCACTTCTTTACTTTCTAGAACAAGTTGTTACAGGATCATCCTGTACTCTGTCCCATACCTGGGATCAGCCATTTCTTCAGGGAACATTCATTCTTTTCAATGGTTTAATGCTGAATTTGCATGAAGAGTATGTGTCATTTTGCTTATGAAGTTAAAAAATGGTTTTTGGGGCGTTCAACTATAGTAGGCGTAGGGTGCGTAAGTGGCTTGGTTTGCCTGGAACTGCCCTGACTAGCTCTTGAGAGTCTCAAATTTTGAACAGTCCTTACATCAGGGTACACAATTCAGCCAAGCAGGAGAGCTCCAAAAGAAAAGAAGGTAGAAGGACAGCCTTACTTGAAGCAGATTTACAGAGTGGGGGTTGATGCTTCCAGAATCAGTGGTTTGCCCGAGGTCACACAGCTGTAGGAGGGCAATGCTGAAAGCAACCTCTGACTCCTAGCTTCATATGGGCTGGACTAAGGAATGAAAAAGACCGTGAGAATCATGCAAGATGACCACAGCTCTTTGAACTTGGGAGACAGTGTGCAATTATAGGGAGCGACAATTCTAGGTGCTGGGAGCAGAAGGTCTGTAGGCTTTCTTCCTGCAGGAGGGACAGCTGCTGTGGCCAACAAGGTTAGAGTCTCAACCTTTGGCAACCTGGAAGCTCTTCCCTCAAAAACTCTGATGCCCCCATAAGCCCTTCCACCCACTGTTGTGACTCCTCTCTGCCAGTGGGTATCCAGTTGTGGGCCAAGGAGCAAAGCTATCTCCTATAAGGCCACCACCCACCCAGGTGTTCTGGCTTGACTGTCAACTTGGTGAGTGGTTGGGTCTGGAGGACTCAGAAGACATCAGAAGTGGATGGCAATTGGCTGGGTTCTGCAGGATGCATGGGTATTTGTAGGACACAGGAGGTGGAGGAGAGTGTCCCAGAGGGATAAAAGGGTAGAATCATGGATAAATATGGCATGGAGGTAGTGGGGGCAGGGAATGAAATAAGAACATGATAGAATGTAAATCTCTGTGTGTGTGCTTACGTGTGTTTCAGTAGGTGATGAGGAACATTTGGCATCAGATTGTGTAATTCTGTATCGCAAAATATCTGCATCATCAGTTTTAAGCTGGAGTTGACTAAATCTACTTGGGATGTATAGCCTGTTGATTTCTCTAGAAGTAGGAAGCAACTTAAGATTTAGGGTGCAGATGTTTACTAGGGATCAAGGCCTGTAGAATGAAAGGGGAAACCAAACAGTAGGGTGGCCGAAGAAACTGAACTTCACTGTAGACTTGATCATGTCTTACCAGCCCTATTGGGAGCCTGTGTGCACCATTAGGGGCTGCATCAGCAGGACAGGTTCAAATACAGCCATTATTACAGCTTAGCATAATGATTTTAACATTCATCCAAGTTATAGCACTATCAGAACTTTATTCTATTTTGTGACTGAATAATCATGATATGAATAGACCACACGTCTTTTTCCATTCATCTGTCTATGGACACTTGAGTTATACCCACCTTTGGCGAATACAGTCATGAACATGGGTGTACAAGCAGTTGAGTCCCTGCTGTAAGTTCTTTTGAATACTTATCTAGCTTAATCAAATGGTAACTCTGTCCAACTTCTTGACAAATTGCTATACTGTTTATCATAGTGGCTATACTATTTTATACTCCCACCAGCAATATATGTTTCAGTTTCTCAGCTCACAAAAACTTGTTACTTTTCATTTTTAAAAAACAATAGCTACCCAAATGACTCTGAATGGTAACATCAATATGGCCTTTATAGATTACATGATTGGCTTCCCTAATGACTACTGATGTTGGGCATATTTTCATGTGCTTAATGGGACTACATGGAACTGGATATAATACAATATTAAGGGGAAAGAAACAAGTGAGTTATGTATGTTCGTGCCTGTGCTTGCAACTCAGTGACCAGCTTCACACTTCCTGCAGGACAGGAGGAGAAGTGGAATTAATGTGGTTTGGACCATGGTAGGAGGGTGGGGAAGTTGTTTTTCTTGAACATTTTTAATAAAGGCATTATTGTTCATTTTAGGTCTGATTGTGTTAGAAAATGACTTTTTGGTATAAAAATTCTGTAATTATTTATAGGTGGAAGACATGATATTTAGGGTTGGTTTTAACATACTCCAGAAAAAGGGGAAGTTGGTATAAAGAAAAATCAGAAGTTGTTTATGGTAGTTGAAATTAGGGGATTATACAGCAGTATGCTCTTAGAGCATATGCATGATGTTAGAGTTCATTTTGAGATTTTTTTTTAAATAAACATTTTTAGGGCCTCCCTGGTGATACAGGCCTTAAGTCTTCGCGCTGTCAAGCTATTGCCAGCCACTGTAGTATGAGTTTAATCCCCAGCCAGTGAGCTGACCTACATGGTGCAGCAGACCTCTACAGTCACACCCACTGCTCCCCTTAGTAATGTATTTCAGTCAGTCTGCCCGCTCTGTTCCACACTCTGTCTTTGGTGAATCCTCTCATCCAGCATACCTTTGGCTCCAGTTCTTACATGCATAAAGAAATAAAATAAATCTTAAAAAAAATTAACAGTTTCAAATGTTTTAATGTTGTAGTAATATTATCTTTATAAACCACGAGCATGTATCAGTCTGCTATCTGAGTGCAATCTGGTGGCTGTCCCTGCCGGAGCCAGAGCTCCTGTTCAGAGGACATGTATTCTAATCTCTACTAATTTTAAGTGAATCTGTTGGTACCCCATTTATCCCTTGCTGTTATGTACTTTACATTATTTTATTTCTTTAAATATGGATTTTTTGAAGTCATACACATGTTTACAAGTTCAGTTTAAAACAATATACATGGCCCTCCTGGGGTTGGGACACAGTATTGCAAGCCAGCCACAGCCATTCAGTGCTTGTTAGATTCCCCAGTTCTGGAGGTGATCCCCATGGCCCAGCAGACCTCTCCTATTTTGACCACTGCTCCTCTCAGCAGTGTACTTCGTTGACCTGACTGTTCTGCTCCCCACTCTGTCTCTGGTGAATCCTCTCACTGCCCCTGTACCTCTGGCCTGTACCCCAGTTCTGTATGCACAAATATATAAGTCTTAAAAATATATATATATACAACTACACACCTATCAGAATGGCAAAAAACAAACAAACCCAACCAAACCACAAACAGAAAAAAACAGTAACAATAAAACAACAACAATATTACAAAAATACAGAGAAACAAGAACCCTTATGTACTGTTTGGAGGAAGGTAAAATGGTGCAGCCATTTTGGAAAACTATGTGGCTTTTTCTTATAATCAAATATTCTGTCGCCAGAGGACTTGGTAGTTTCATTCCTCAGCATCTACTTTGAGAAATGAGAACTTGTGTTCACATAAAGACTTTACATAAGTCTTCATAGCAGCTTTATTTGGAAATCCCCCAAACTGGAAACCACCAAAAAGTGCTTAATTAAGTTGGTAGTTAAAAGAACCTGGGGTATACCCATGCCTTGAAATTCTACTCAACACTAAAAGGAACAGACTATTCACAGCAACTGGTGACTCCAGAGTTGATCCTGAGTGAGAAAAGCCAATCCCAAAAGATTGCATAATGTATGATTCCATTTATGTAATATTCATGAAATGACAAATTAAGCAGGTGGTGAAACATTGGTAGATGCCAGGGGCTGGGGTTGGGTGCAGTTATGTGGCCTCAGTAGTCATGGAAGCACTTGTGTGTTGACTATGATTTTGATATGAATACACACATGACCAAATAAACAAACTAGCACACACAACAAGCACGTATAAACCCAGCGGAACTTGAACTCCATAGGTAGAGTGTATTGATGCCAGTTTCCTGGCTGCACCTTTTGTTTTTGATTCCTGTGATACAGGAAATGGAGACAGGGTTGTATTGGAGGAAAGTAGATGAAGGCTCCGTTGATCCAACAGAATGGAGACAGGGTAGTATTGGAGGAAAGAAGGTGGAGGCTCCATTTATCCAAGAGTTATAAGTGAATCTTGACCTTTATCTCACCATTCTTACCTGACCTCAGAAAAGAAATGCTACAATAGAAAGGTTAA